GGGAAAAATTGAATTCCTAATATATACTCTGGAATCCCTCATATTGGAAAAATCATTTAGGGTTCCAGATAATATCTACTAAAAGAATCTTTGGAACATCAACCATTGGCAAGGTGTGCCTCCTTTCTGTATATACTTATGGGTTTGAACTGAGATTGTGCTGTTTTGTCAGGTTTGGTGGATAGATCAGAGACTTTGGAGAGGAAGAAGGAAATATTTATTCAGGAGAACTACAGTTGGAATTGGCAGGTTACTTTTTTCACATTCTTCTGGCCAAACAAATCACAAGGCCAGTTCAGATTTAAGTAAGTAAATTGTTTCATTGAATCCTTATAATTACCCTTTAATGTAGGCACACAAATCCTTTTTCATAGCTCAGAGATGTTGATAAGTTTGCTTAAGTCTCACAGTAAATACATCCTGTAACCCACATTTGAATGCAAGTCCAAAACATGATATTTCTATTGCACTCAGGTGCATTTCCATTGGTGTCGGAAGATCTGAGTTGTCTTGGTTCATATTCTACTAAGTTATGCTATCTGCAGTCAGTCTCTGAATTCTGTCAAATTATCCCTTCTTTAAAACAAAGCTAATACATGTCATAATCAGGGTTTTTTATGAGTATCTAGAAAGATGAAGTAGAGGGCTGGCCCTGTGGCTCACTTGGTTAATCCTCCACCTGCGGTGCTGACATTCCATATGGGCCCCAGTTTCTAGTCCTGGTTGCTCCTCTTCCAGTCCAGCTCTTTGCTGTGGCCCAGGAGGGCAGTGGAGAATGGCCCAGGTGCTTGGGCCCCTGCACCCATGTGGGAGACCAGGAGGAAGCTCCTGGCTCCTGGCTTCGGATGGGTGCAGCACTGGCCGTGGTGGCCATTTGGGGAGTTTGGGGAGTGAACCAACAGAAGGAAGAGCTTTCTCTCTGTCTCTCTCTCTCTCACTGTCTGTAACTCTACCTGTCAAATAAATAAAAAAAAGAAAGAAAGAAAGATGAACTAGAATGTAGTGGCAGGGACTGGGTTTGAAGGCTTGAAAGCCTTAATTGGAGCCTTACCTTTAACTACACAACTCTGATTTCAAACTTTAATTTCTTTACCTGTACAAAGGAGTTAATAATATTCCCCATCTCTAAGGTTTATTGCAATGATTAAATAGGATTATATAGGTAACACATTTAGCTCAGTGTCTTGCCATAGTAAGCTCTCAAATATGACCTATAATTAGGTATTGCAGTCTCTAAAGTGGCAAGTTCTAATTAATGTCAATTATTAAGATTGAATTTTATTTTGGGCTCAATGGAATCATGTGCTCTCTGAAGCCAGAATGATTCCTCTGGGATTGTTCAAGCCAGATTTGACTGTAACTCCTATCTCCGCACAACATGAAAGGCAGGCCTGCCCTGTCGGCTGGAGGTTTTCCACATAGGGGGATCAGTGCGCCACTGCAGAGTTTCTGGAGGTGGAGGAAGGGCTGTCAGCCTGCTTTAGGCTGTCTGAGATCTCAGAGTCTCTGACAAGTCCCTCATTAGCTCATCCTTGTTTGCACGCTCTGTGACCTGTGAAGGCTCTGTGGGTCTGTGGTTGTTCCAAGTTATCACATGGCTAGCTTCCCCAGACCTGTTTCAGCTTGAGTGACTCAGGGCAAGACCAAGTGCCTATCAAAGTCCTCACCACGGTACTCTAATAGACCTTGCAAACATTTGTCTGGCTTCCCCTGCTAGCCCACTTGGGGATCCCTCATTTGTAATCTTAGCCTTTTCTCCTACATATTTACATGATTTCTCCCTCATGCAATGGCTGATACCTGCACAGGGCTCATGTTGCTGGCCAAACCTATAGTCCCCTGTGACAGAAGTCACTTTATGTATAAATGTTGATACTTTTGCAGCCAGTGTTGTGGCACATCAGGTTAAGCCACTGCATGTGTTGTTGGCATCCCATATCAGAGTGCTGTTTTGAGCCCTGGTTGCTCCACTTCTCTTCCAGCTCCCTGCTAATGTGCCTGGGAAGGCAGTAGGAGATGGCCACAGTCCTTGGGCCCCTGCTACCCATGCGGGAGACCCAGATGGAGCTCCAGGCTCCTGGCTTTGGCCTGGCCTAGCCCCAGACATTACGGCCATTTGAGGAGTGAGCGAGTGGAAGGAAGATCTCTTTCTGTTTTTGTATCTCTCCCCACCTCTGTCATTCTGCCTTTCAAATAAATAAAAATAAATCTTAAAAAATAAGCTCTTAATATTTTCTACCCACAAATTTGACCAGAACCATCTAGACCAGGGGCTGATATCTGCATCCAGGAAGCTGCCAGCAGACTAAGGCAGTGTGGCTAAGATGTCTGACTAGGAGGGAGTTCTAGGCCTTGCAATGACCACAGGACCCAGTTATTTATCTGTCTTGAGGAGGCTGGACCTGAGCCACCTAGAGAAGAACAGGAGGACAATGGAACAGGATGAGCTTGGTCTCCCTTAGAGGAGGTAGGAAGCTGAATCTAGCGGAGAGCTGAAGGGAGGAGGCAGAGGGGTGGCCTGTGAGGAGGGAAGTGGGTAGAATCAGGAGGATGGTGGAGTTGTGAGTACAGGGGCTGCCAAAGGGACCTCTACTTCTGTGACTATTATGTCAGCAGACTGATGCAACTAACTGCAGTGTCTGAGACATTCCAAATAGCAATGCAGCCTGTATTGTTTCATTCTTGGACTACAAGCAACAAAAATTAACTCTAGTAACTTGAGAGAAAGGAAAATACATTGGAAAGATATGAGAGGAATCTTCGAATCAAAGAGTAGCTAAAGATGGAACTCAGAACTTTTAAAGTGTTTTACTAATATATGGCGGTCTGGCTATATGGAGACCCAAGAGTCAGCCATCTTGTCCTCTGAATTCTGGCCCTGTGACTGCTGACACGGCTTCTTGTGCCTTCATCTTTGTATCTGAAAACTCCTGTCACCTGAGGGGACTTGAGCCTGTCTGCTAGACATGATCCTCCTTTATCTTCTCCAATTTTGCAATCTTACCCATTCTGAAGGTAAGTCAGGTTTGACATAGCTGTTAAGTTGCGTCTAGATTCACCTGTATTCCACTTCAAAGTATCTGGATTTGAGTCTCAGTGCCCTATTCCAGTTTCCTGCTATTGCTCTCGACAGGAGGCAGTAAGTAATGGCTCCAGTGCTTGAGTGCCTGCCACCAACATGGGAGCACTGGATGGAGTTCTGGGTTTCAGGCCTCAACATGGCCTGGGACTAGTTATTGAAAGTATTTGAGGAGTGACTCTGCGGTTGGACGACCTCATTCTCTGTCTCTGTTTTTCTGTCTCTTACTTCCTTTCAAGTAATTGAAAATGAATAAACATGCATTTTTTTCCAAAAGGACGCATCTGAATTTGTAGCATTTGCCATTATCCATGTCAAAAATCCTTTCGCCACAGCTGATTTCAAGCATGACATCACTAAACATGGAGTTAGGAAGTGATAAATAGCAACATACCATTACATAATATTTTCATCATCCAGCAACAGATATTATAGATTAAAATAATTTCCAGGATATAAATAACAATAAAACTTGGTTGATGAGCTGTGGAAGTTTATTACCCTTGCATTAATATATTTTACTGTAAACTTTAATATTTAGTAATGGCTGAATTCAATGACTCATGAAATTCAGGAATATTTAGAAACTGACTCTTGCAAACTTGTAGCCAATTCTGACACCCTCATTATATTTCATCTCCCACCTCCCCAACTCACCTGCTTCACTGAGTATGCAGTTGGAAAAACAAGCTTTCCGCTTTTGTTTCTGTGGAACTAAGGAGCTGAGTCCTGGCTGCTGCATTTCAATTTCCTGCATTCTCCGGCACTTCCAGTTCTATCATGGGTCCCTGCTTGACTTGGTGCTGGATAGCAGAGACCACTCTCCCCTCAAACTCTCCTGCTCCTTCCAACTCCACACAAGCTGCAGGAGTGAGTGTGTCTTCCATTAATGAATAGTTGTTGTGTAAAGGAAGTTATCATGTTGGGAGGGAAAATCTAAAAGCTGTATGATAATTTTGGCTTTCCCAGAGTCTAAAGGAAAACAAAAATCTTGAAATCTTTTGCTTTTTAAATGTTTTTTTTTTTTTTTTGACAGGCAGAGTGGACAGTGAGAGAGAGAGAGACAGAGAGAAAGGTCTTCCTTTTTGCCATTGGTTCACCCTCCAATGGCCGCCGTGGCCGGCGCGCTGCGGCCGGCGCATCACACTGATCCGAAGCCAGGAGCCAGGTGCTTCTCCTGGTCTCCCATGGGGTGCAGGGCCCAAGGACCTGGGCCATCCTCCACTGCACTCCCGGGCCATAACAGAGAGCTGGCCTGGAAGAGGGGCAACCGGGACAGAATCCGGTGCCCCAACCGGGACTAGAACCCGGTGTGCCAGCGCCGCAAGGCAGAGGATTAGCCTAGTGAGCCACGGTGCCGGTGCTTTTTAAATGTTTTTAAAATTATTTTTATTTATTTGGAAGGTGAGGAGAGAGAGAGAGAATATCTCCCAAGCACTGGTTCACTTCCCAAATGCCTGCAACAGCTATGGCAGGGCCAGATGTAGCCATGAGTCTGGAACTCAGTCCAGAACTCCTATGTGGATGGCAGGGACCTAAATACTCGAGTCATCACTTGCTACCTCCCAAGAGGCTGAATCAGAAGGGGAGCCAACACTCAAACTAGGCCATCTGACATACAAATGTAAGCGTCTCCAACAGCCTCTTAACCACTATGCCAACCGCTCACTCCAAATCTTTTGTTTTTAATTCAAGGATTATTTATTTGACATTTACTTTGTATCAGGTATCATGTTAGATCCACTGAAAAAGTAGACATATCTCATACTTCAATTTGACTATCTTGTCCTTTTTTTTTTTTTTTTTTTTTTTTTTTTTACTTTCTTACAACCTGTGTTTTCTTCTCTCCCTACTATGAACTAACCTGTGCTCTCTGCTCCCCAGGAGGATCTTGACCACAACATCTTCACCTTCTAGAATCCTCTACCCATTTTTGTATAATTCTGTCTATGTCATGTTCTCAGTGGAATATGGGTGAAGATGAGGTTTTCTAGAACATACTGATGCCATTTGACACCCTGGATTCCACAGCCAAGGCTGGCCTAAGGTAGGTTTATGCTTCTAAATCTTACAGAAAATTTCAGGGCTACATAAGCTTTCTAGGCATATCTGTGGAGATCACACCCTGACACTGAAAAATTATAATCACATCTATTTATTCTCTTTCATAGTTTGTAAGAAAATATTTACTTATTACCCTACACATATCTTTGGTTGGAAAAAAGCATGAATTCTATGTCACTAAATCCCAAACCCATAATTAGGAATAAAATGTTCACTTGGTGACCTTAGGTAACTTGTAAGATACCTTGCCATGGAGTCAAAAAGTCCCATTGTTGTACTGAGAAGTTGAGTTCCTTTATTTCACCCCATTATTACTAAATTACACATTACAGGAGTAAGAAACAAACACATTCGTGATCTGAACTCCTCCTTGTAACCTCTCACAGGAGCAGATCCAGGTAAGAGAGCAAACTGGGATTCAAATGTGAAGGGAAGAGTGATGAAAGAAGAGGCAGACCCTATTGTGAATGAGCTAACCTTTCAGTGGGAAAAACCCAGATGTACAAACGAAAGGCCATGACATAGAGTGATAAATGCCATAATGGAGCATGGAGTAAATGGCGTGGAATCACAGAATGGGGCTGTCATCCTTGCAGACAATGTGGGAGAGGTAGGGAAGACTTCACATTGATGAAGAGGTTTGCTCCTAAACAAGTAAGAGTGGAGGTAAAGGGTGTGCAAGGCACAGCAAACTGCATGTACCAAGATACGGAGGCCTTTAAGCATGTGTACAACCTACTCTGATTACAGTGTATGTGTAGATGCTTGTGTGAATTTCATGGGATGAAGTGTTGAAGAATGGGACTAAAATATATAGAGCAAGATACCAAAGATATCTGAATATGCTGAAGAATTTGGACTTTATTTTGTAGGTTTTTTGCCCTGGAAGTTATTGCCAATTAGTATCTTAGAGTAGGATCATAGATAACCTGTTTAGTACTGTTGAGTGTAGTGTATTAGAGACAGCCCAGAGGCAGGGCTCAGTTGGGAGGCTGTTACAATAACCTAGTTTTGAGAGATGAAGACCTGAACTAGGGTGGCTGGCATGGCAGCTAAGCATAGAAAACTATGGATTCACACTTCACAGAAAATAAAGAATTAAAGAAGAGGCAAAGAATGCTTTAAGTTTTCCTCAGTGAACCTCTTTCAGGTGGGTGGTGATTCTGTTAGCATAATGCAGGAAGAGCAATAAGTACAAGAAATACACTGATAAGTGGATATAAAGTACCTGGAAGACATCGAGATAGAGATGTGCAAGCCTTCAGTTCCAAATGAGGTGTGGAATCCAGAAGAGAGATCAGAATGAGAGGTCTATAGATTTGAGAATCATGGGAACATAGATATGTGCTCTCCGGAGGCAGGGTTGATTTTTTGGGGGGTGGGGTGGGGGGAAGGATTGATTTTTAAAATGAAAACTTTGTGAGCATGTCCAATGGTAAACGTTTAAAATTTAGACTTTGAAGCCGGAAGGTTAGCCTTATTCTCACACACTGTCTTTAGAAAACAAGAACATTTGAAAGCTTTTGTATAATCTGATTAAGAGCTAAATAAGAAGAGGCAAGGGGTTAACAATTAGTGGTTTAACACCACATTTACCTAAAGCTGAAAGGGTTTTTCTAAAGATCTTAAAGAAACCCTTTGTGAAGCCTGTAACAAGAGGGCTGAGCTTGCAGCTCAAAGTTAACACATCCACCATCCTCTGTGCCCATTCTTGTCAGTGTTTATGCTCAGCGTTCTGTCATACCTAAGCACCAAGACGACTCTCCTCCACTTTCATCTGGGAGAGAGCTAGTTCCCTGGTGGTGTGGCTCCATCAGGAAGCCGTACATTTTTTATTCCAAATGACACTATGGTCTATAATATGACTTCTCCTAGGAGGTGACATCACTCCAAAGGAGGCAAAAACAGGCTCTTGTGGTAGAGGGACAGCTTAGCAGTTATGATGATGTCTAACCCTTCAAAGGATTACAGTTTATAAACATAGAGGACACCTCTGAAAATTTCATCATGAGGGACAATGTGGGGAAACTGCTAAGTCTCTAAGGAAAACTAGTGATAATAATAACAATAATAGTATTAATAATAAAATTTTTTAAAGCTGGGAAAAACTGGGTTATGAAAGAGTACTTAGACATACACCAGAATCCTTTAATTTCCCCAAGATGAAAGAAATCACATTAGGAGTTAGAGGGTTTGAGTTATAATATCTGCCACTAATGAGCATATTTATTTGTTTATTCTTCAAATACTTACTGACCTGTGTACTATGCTCTGACCTGTGTACTAGACTCTGGAATGATAGTGATCAACAGGGCAATATTCCTGTTCCCATGCAGTTTATATTTGAGAATGGAGCAGGCATTAAATGAGCTCCAAATATCTCTCCACGATAATAATGATGATAATAAATATAATTATAATAGCTATAGAGTAAATCATTATTCATTATAAAATGTTTAATAATAAGTGCTATATAGAAATTTTAAGAGGACAAGAGAAGTGAAAGTTGTAATGCATGAACAGAGAAGGTCCCCTGAGATGGTGGCTTGTGAGCTGAGTTGAATGTTTAGAAGGATGGAGTCTTGCAAAGATCTGGGAGCAGAGTTTTCTGGGCAGGACAGAGGGTCTTAGGTTGGCAGGAGCTTGTCATGTTTGAGGAATAGCAAAAGGTTGACATGACTGAAGTCAACTGGGCTAGGGAGAAAGAAACAGAAGACCAATCAGCCAGGGCCATATCACTCTGGACCGTGCACGTAGTAAGGAAAACCTCAACTTTATTCTAAATGCTGTGTGACTAGTGAGCGTTTGGCCTAGGGGTCAAACTGCAGATTGGGATGCCTGCATTTCATATTAGAGTGCGTGGGTTAGAGCCAGCTCAGCTCCTGATTCCTGCTTCTTGCTAATGTGTGTCCTGGAAGATAGTGGGTGATGGCTCAAGTACTTGGGACCTGCCATCTATGTGAGAGATCTGGATTGAGTTCTGAGCTCCTGGCTTTGGCCTGGCACAACTGTGGCTGTTGCAGGCATTCAGGGAATGAACCAGTGGACAGGAGCTCTGTCTTTCTGTCACCTCACCTCCCTCCATCTGAAATGAATAAGTACAATTTTTTAAAAAGTGCTGTGTGAATTCGGGTGATTCATTCCACTCTCTCAAGTGGCAAGTGTGAGGTGGTGTGATTAGAGCAGCTGAGGCTGTCATCTTCCGAAATGCCGAGAGTAACCTCATTTAATTCAGGACCTGGGAGAGATGCCTTGAGTGTACAGTACAGGCAGTAAGGCAACAGAATCAGCCTCAGAGGCGTATGCTCGGCATTCTGGTGGAGACAAGGAACGAGTGAGAAACACTCAGGGTCTTTTCCTCCAAACCGGAGTTGACCCTCCATCCACCTGCAGTTGTTGAGGTGCACGGGCTCACTCTGATCATCTGTTTCTTACTCTGGTGCCTTGCACAGGTTTAGAGGTCAGCAGCCTTGGGCTCTGCAAGCCCATCTGTTAGTAACTACGTGACCGGAGCCAGGCCATTCCCGGATCTGGGCCTGCAGACCTTCATCTGGGGACCATCATTAAGATTCCTCCTAGAGCACAGACTCTGTGATTCTATTATTTTCCTCATTGCCAGAGCTGGGGAGGAGCCGAAACCCCTGCATGCAGGCCCACCAACACTGTCCTAAAATAATAAAGCAATTTCCTTTGAAATGGTTGAGAAGCAAAGTCGAGAGGCCCTTGCAGAATATGACAAAACCCAGTCCCAGCTGAATATTAAGTTAGAGAGGGGTCTGCAACTGGGGCGGGGGCTGGAGAGAGACGGGAGATGCAGGGTGGGGAGAGAGAAATTTTAATTGCAATTGTGTGGCCTGCTGATCTTAGGCAAATGACAAGAAGCCCCAAGCAGCCTCAAACATAGATATTTGAAAGGCAGAGACGGCTGGGGGTGGTTTGGTTTCTCCCTCCCCTTGGAGGCTGTTTGAGGAGCGGTCTACAGTGCTGACAAGCATGGGTTTTGGAGGCCATTGAAAAGTTTTGGGCCTAAATAGGGTAGGCAGCTTGGCTTAAGTGTTGCTAGGAATACCTGGCAACCGGCAACAATAGGCCTTTTAGAGAATCCAGGGCAAACAGTGACCGTGGTAATGGGGTGGGCTTAAGGGTCTCCTTGCCCGGCTGGGCCCCTCCTCTCCTCACAGAGGCCTGGGCACTGGGCTATGTTCCGGAAATTCCCCGCACAAAGCCCCATTCAGTGGGAGGAGGGCCAATGCGTGTGCTTGGGGGGGAGTGGGGCTGGAGACAGGGGGTAGTGAGCAGGCGGGGGTGGGGGTACGAGAGAAGGAGCTTTACTGCCAAAAAAAAAAAAAAGCCCTCTCAAGTCTCTTTCTTCTTGCAAAGACTAAAAGAGCCACAGAAAGTGCTAAGTTTGTAAAAGAGGCTGAGAAGGTTCAGAAAAGTAGTATAAAAGGGTCTAGGGAACGCCCCGTGAATTTTGAACAGAGAGTAGAAAAGGGACCCTAAAAAGCAATTAGTGATGCTGCTTGTAAATGCAGAGGCAACTCGCTGGCGTGGGGAGTGCAGCAGTGGAGGTAGGTGCACAGGAGTGAGTGGGAGCTGGGGGAGGCACTGGGAGCAGGTAGGAGGAAGGGAGTGAGGTGGGAGTGGAGGTGTGTAAAGCGGGGAACTGTGGCCCCAGGTCCTACGTTGGCCACAAGCCTTCTGTGTGCTCTTGGCTGATTTTGTACCCTGGTAGGGCAGCCCCGGACAGGCAGGGGAGCCTGGGACAGTGACTGGCACCCAGGATCTGGGCTCTCTCTCCGGTCCCGTTGGTCCCTGGTGACCACAGATGAGGCCTCCACATTCTGAGTGACTGGAGAGTGCTCTCTCCGCGCACTACTGAATGAGTGGCAGGATGCTCCCGGGAGCTGGTTGTCTGCCTAAGTTCCTGAGGGAGGCTCAGATGACAGCCAGAGGAGGAAGGCGAGGGAGCCAACAAATTAG